AACCGACAGCCCACCATTGTTCTCCACATCATCGATGTTATCATAATTACGCTCACTTCTATTAAATCTTGTTTCAATTCAATTTAAATACATAGAACAGAAAGTCAAAGATTCATTTATGATGTAGGCTTCTGCAATTGAACCTTCAGGCTGAACTTTGTTTCTAATATATTGCTTCAAATATCGCAAGCTTATAATACAAAAAATAGTAAAGGATGTAGAACTTAAAGTCAACATTGGAAAAAATGTGAATCAACGCATAAGGGCCAATTTTCATACCTTTCAATGAGATACATCCAACTATAACCAACAGGACCAACAATCTTTGCTTCCCACGGCAAATGGACAGCTAAGTGAACCATAACGTCAAAAAATGCCGGTGGAAAGATTTTTTCCAACTTACATAAGATGAACACTATATCAGTTTGCATTCTTTCTAAGTCTGACATGTGTAGAGATTTTGCACATAAATCATGAAACAAGTTTGAAAATTCTGATATAGTTGTATAGATGTCTCTGTGTATATATGGTCGAATATCAATTGGAAGAAGCCTTTGCAACAAAACGTGACAATCATGACTTTTCAGACCTGTAATCTTGCCCTCAGTTGCGTTGACACACCGAGATATATTTGAAGCAAATCCATCTGGAAACTTCACGGATTTTAAGAACGTACAAAAACTGACTTTTTCACTTGCAGTTAACGTGAACGATGCATGAGGCTTTACACGCCTGCCTCAAATTTCTTGTATGTGAAGTTCCTTTCTTATTTTCAGATTTGCTAAGTCCTCACGGGCTTTGATGGTGTCTTTAGTCTTCCTATCAATATTTAATATGGTACCAACCAAATTATCACATATGTTTTTCTCAATATGCATCATATCAAGTGTATTGCGCAACTTAAGATTTTGCCAGTACGGAAGATCAAAGAAAATACTTCTTTTACACCAATTGTACTGGTTAATTATCCGTGTACGTTTGTTATCACATACTATTGTAGAATGTTTGCTCAACTTAGGGAAACTCAATGAATTCAGTTGATTTGTAATTTCATTTCCATATAATATCTTCGGAGTTGTTCTAAATTCTTGTTTTCCATCATGTTGCCTACTCCTATGCCATGTGTGTGTTTGAGGTAGATATCGACGATGTCCCATAAAACAAATTTTGCTCTTTAATCTCATTGAACTCGTATCGTCATTGCAAGCTGGACAAGCCTTATAACCTTTTGTCCTCCAACTAGACAAATCACCATAAGCTGGAAAATCGTTAATCGTCCACAATAAGACAGCACGAAGTTGGAAGAAAGAGGCACTGAAACTATCGTACGTGCAGACACCATTCACCCACAACTCATTCAACTCATCTATCAAAGGTTGTAGATAAATATCAATCTTTTTACCAGGAGATCTTAGCCCATGAATGAGTAGAGATAAAAAAATGAATTGTTCTTTCATACACTTTTAAGGAGGCAAATTATAGGGAATGAGCATTACTGGCCACATACTATACGATAAATTCATATTTCCAAATGGGTTAAAACCATCTGAACAAAGTGCCAATCTAACATTACGAGCATCTGCAGCAAAAGAAGGGTACTGACTATCAAAGTGTTTCCAACCCTCAACACCAGCAGGATATCAAAGTATTCCTTCAGTTTCAGACCTTTTATCTTTATGCCACCTCATATCCTCAGCATTATGTTTTGAAATATATAATCTTTGTAACCTTGGCTTCAATGGAAAATACCTCAACACCTTATGAAGAATTTTTTTCCTTTTGATTTACTAACTTTGTACCTTGACTCTCCACGATGCGGGCAATGGTCTAATGATGCATATTCTTTCCAAAATAAAGCACAATCATATTTACACGCATGAATTGATTCATATCCCAATCCTAGATCACGTAATCTTTTCTTAGCCTCATAATTTGATTTAGGAAGCCTTACACCATCTGGAAATGCATCGTTTAATAATTGGAGTAACATATCAAATGATTTATCGCTCAAATGATTAAGAACCTTAATGTGCATAAGCTTCACTAAAAAATTAAACAATGTAAACTTTGAACATCTTGGATACAACTCTTTGTCTACATCATGTAACATTTCAGTAAAGTCATTCGTCTCAGATTGCTCATTTGATTCTCTAAGAATGTCTTCAAACATTGGACCGTTCAAGTCATTCATCATCTGGCGCATCTCATCATCATTATTCCTACCTCTTCCTTGATTTATATTATTTCCATCTTCTCTATGTCTACTAGAATCTGAAAATGTAGCTGCAAGAAACCTTGATTTGAGTCTTACGAATGAAGAAACATCTACCTTTTCTCCATGAAATGTCCATTTACGGTATGTCGGAGACATACCATATTTAAATAAATGATGCTCTATATCATTCAATTTATTCCTAAAGACATTTAAACAGTTCGAACAAGGACATCTTGTTTTTCCTTTTGCATCCAAAAAATTCTTAGCAACTTCCATAAAACTGATGACCCCGTCAGAGTATTGACTACATCTTCGATTCTTCAAAGTTATCCAATTTCGATTCATTGCAATCTTTTCTACAAAAACAATCTTTTGTAGAATTAGATATCTTTTAGTTAATTAATAATTGCAACTTACACTTGGCTAAAAACTAAAGTGATTTACAACAATATTATGTGTACAATTTGAAAATTGATTAGAATTCATTAAAATGAATTAATGAATTTTCAAATATATGAAATAGTTTTTTCCCCTAATTAACAAATATTAAGAATCAAAGGAAGATGAGATTATTGTTGGTAATTATTAATTTGTGAGTTCTATTATATAAATTGAGTGATTTTGGGGAGGATTATTTGTGAGTCCTCATAGGCTTTCGGGCTAGTAGCTTATGAGTCAGAGTTTTCTTTTATCTTCATTATTCATATCATGTATTTAAATTTTAAGCAGCCTAAAAAGTTTCCTAGACTCTATAATTTCTCGAGCTATCTAGTCTCATCTAATGAGATCATGTGTGGATGGTCTTATTATTTCTTTTTTAGCGTCACATGTCCAATGGTGAGGCTAATTAAGCTTGGATTTACTCTTTGTAGTGGACTGAACTACCTATATTTAGTACATATATATGGAACTAAAAATATTTAGTACATATATATGGAACTAAAATATTTAGTACATATATATTCAACATTATGATTATGATATTGAACATTTGGATGAAACTAAAAATTAGATAACGTAATAATAATATATTGAACATTATGATTATGATATTGAAGTATCAATGTAATGTACGTTATGTTAATTAAGTAAGCATCCGTTAATTTTTCCACTCAAATAGCAAACAGTTATTCAAAAAACATAATAGAAGATTCTTTGAAGTAGTAAACAATGAGAGATTCTCGTGCTGTTGTTCTTTAATTTGCTATAATTTCTCTAAAAAAATGAACCACATCACATAATTTGTTAAAATTAACTTAAACAATCATAGATTCACATGCAAAATCATAATCGAAATTTAAAAATTGGAGAAAAAATAAGTAAACGATTTGAGTTCGAAATCATACTTCACGACGGTGGTAAATGGCGGTGATGAACGCTGACAGTAGTGGTGGCGGACGATCTGGTTAATCCGACGAGTGACCGGTGGCGGCGGTGGTACGAAACAGTTCGGAGGCGGCAGTGGACGGTGGTTTGAAATAGATCGAACGATGGGGGCGGTGGTACGAAACAGAGAAGACGTGCGGCGACGTCCGGACTGGTGGTGGCAGCACGGGTGAGGAACGACAGTACTACCACCGGGCAACGGCCGCGGCAGTAGGGGAACGGTCGAAGTTGAACGGCGGTGGAGGATTGAAAGAGAAAGAGAAGAAATCCACGACGTGCGGCGGCGTCCGGACCAGCGGTGGCAGCATGGGTGAGGAACGACATCATTACCATCGATGAGCGACGGTCGCGTCAGCAGTGACCGGTCGAAGTCGAATGACGGCAGCGGATTGAACAGTCAAACGGCGGCGGCGGATTGAGAGAGAAGGAAAAGAAATCGAGGGTTTTGGGAAATGGGAAGAAAGGTTGGGATGTAAACAGACTTTTTAGCTACACCGTTAGTAACGGCGTCGCTGAAAAGTATTATCAGCGACGTGAGTGTAATCGCGCGTCGCTGATAAAATTATTAACGGTGTCGCTAAAAATATTATCAGCAACGCCGTTTTATGTCGCTAATAATATACTATCAGCGACGCGGCTTATTATCGCTAATAATATATTATCAGCGACTTCATTTGTTTTTTGCGTCGCTGATAATATTTAGCATCACACGTCTATAGTTATGTCGCTGATAGTGATTTTTAGCGACACACTAGTCTGTTAGTCGCTAAAAATGTGTCGGTAAAGGCCCTATTTTTTGTAGTGTTTTGTGATACTATGAAAATGTCTAATCACCTCTCATGTCAATATTAAACCCATAGAAATGTCAACAAACATCCAATACCTTGGGCAGGAGTAGCAATAATTATAGATACAAGACTAGGTGACACTCTTCAAGGATGATTGTCAGGGTTGCAAGAGTGCAAACAAAAAGTCTTACATTGGCTAGAGAATGAGGCTTTTGGGTGAAACCAAAAGCAAAACCATGAGATTTGTATGGCCAAGGTTCGAAATATTGATGTCAATGGAAATAAATTAAAATTGAATGATAGCTTAATTATGTTGATATTAATCATCTATAAGCATCATTATCTATATTCTTTGATTACTCAATCACGATTTTTTTTAGTACAACATGTGGGGATGAGAGAAAACTCATAACCTTTTGGTTAGAAATATATGTCAATAAATTGTGTTTGAACTGATACATGAGACTTTAATTAGAATACAATTGATGATTTATAATATGATAAAGATAGGAAATAGTTGTTACATAATTAAAATATATCCCTACAATAATGTTTTTAACAATCATAATAATAATATTGTTGGATAAATAAGAATCCCCACCGAGTGTGGTTCATTCAACTAACTTGCGGCCTAAGAACAAAGCCAAAGTAAGGACAAAGTTGAGAACCAAAAAGGGGCACATATAATGTAAGGAGTGAGAGAGAGTGGAGTTGATTTTGCAAGTACAACGTAAGTGCCTGAGCAAAATGCCAACACCATTGCAAAAATCGAAAAGGTTGTGCAAGCTTCTGCAAGCCTCACGCATCGCAGTCGAATGTGGTGACGGAGGAGCAGTGAGTTGTGGAACATATGAATCACTGGAAAAACTGAGCAGACAAATGCCAAAGTGTTGAAAACTGTAAATGCCTGGAAAGCTGCTTTGTTGGTGAGAACCGCCAGCCCTTGGTCCTCTGATCCGTTGCTCATAAACCCACCAGGCACTGTGAGTCCTGCCGTGAAGGTTACTGTCGCCACTAGCGCTCCCACCACTAGGTTCGATTCCATTGCAATCTGCCGTCTAGAATCTGGACCACTATTATTTCTTTTTAATATCTCCTCTGACTCTCTCGCAACTTTATTATGATCAGCTTCTTTGTTCATCTCTTCTACTTCTTCCTTAGCAAATTGGTGCATTGCCATATAACATTTTTTATCAACCCAGTCTAATTCGGACTTCCTTGGTCGTCTGATCTACGAGTTAAAACACAAATATTGAGTTAGCTTCGAATCATTACTATATATATATATATATGTATATATATATAATTTTTATTTTTTTCCATATCCGTGTCCAAGTCAGCTTACGCGCACTTCGACTAATCTCACGGGGCAACCGCCCTACCCTACAACATTTGGTGCCTAAAAACATATAACAGTTACTAATTCCTAAGGTAGGTAAATCATTACTATTTGACTCAGACCTGTTTTAAAAAAGTCGAGACATTTCGAATTGTTTGTTGACACGGACAAAATAAAGGAAAACCTCTGATAGCGCGAGACAACTCTCTCTAAGGAACTTAACAAACTAGCTAGCCCTATAAGTTCGAGAGAAGGAGTGCCTGGATGCAGTTACTAATTCATGATCTGGCATGAATAGAATGAAAACACTTCGGGTTAAATGCGGTTGCTAAAGAGAGCCGTCACAGACGAGAAAGTGGGAGTTCAGACTTGGCGAATGAGCTCTTGCCGCATGAGAGGAAAGCGGTGTTGGGAAAATAACTATTCTGGTAGTTGATAGCGGAGCAAAGGCTGGATAAAACATGAATAAGCATGCCTTATCATCCAAAACGATGTAGAAACAGTGGGGTCGATTCCATATCTCATAGAGAGGAGGAGTACCAAAGATGATAAGGGATACTCACTCTACCACTCACAAGAATGGAATCATTACACATTACTTCCATTTTTTGATAGCTTTATTTAAAGAGAGAATATGGAGTTAGGCTGAAATCGCTATATGGCTTCAAAATGATTTTGGAAACGTATGTTGATTGAACTAATAGGTGCTGGGTAAGGGCTCAACTCATGTTGTAAGGTGTTGGGTAAGTCCTGCAATGAGCGCAACCTTCGTGTTTAGTTGCCAGTTGTGTTGAGGTTGGAACCCTGATGAGCAGTTGCCAGTGATAAGTCAAAAGAAGGTGAGGATGACGTCAAGTCTGTTGGGTTTAGTGCTATAAGCTTGTGAGTTTGTAATTTGTAAACATTTTATTTATTATTATTAAAGTTATTTTATTATTTCTTTACATTACTCTTATTTCAATAAACTAAGATCCAATGTTATTTAATGTAACTGGAACAGTATATATTTGATATACAGTATATATATTTAATATACAATGTACATATTTGATATACAGTATATATACAGTATATATTTGATATACAAGTGGATAATATTCCAATAATAACCTAAATGGTCTATAGTACATGGATAAGGTTGGGTACCTTATTCTGGTAACACTATGGATACAACTCACTTTGTAATAGTTACAAACGACTTTATCTAGGTCGTTCATGTAGAGACATGCGAGTGGGGGTATCCTATACAATGAGTTTGTATAAGACCGGATCGCAAAATAATTAATCATTGGCTCTAACACCGTTAGTCAATAGATTGTTATCTCATAAAATGACTAGGTAACTCGATCTTAATTCTAAGCAAGTTATGGACTCCTGCCTATAAAGAATCGTCCTTTGATTTGTATGGGCGAGATTGGTCTGGGTTGCCGACTCAATAATCCTACCATTTTGGGGAGACCGAGTGGGGAGCTAGGAACATAACTATGCAAGATGAAATTCACTCATTCCCAACTTCAGGGAAGTAGATGAGTGTTCACTTACATGCTGACTCTGGGACTTGAACAAGGGGCTTCACCCTCTCACTGGCCCGAAATGGACTTTTGGTTATTGGTCGGATCATAATTGGGTTGTTCATTAGAGAAGTAGTGGTATTTAAAGAGTAAGATGTAACTCAGGGGTAAAATGGTAATTTGATCCAGCTAGAGTTACGAACACTCGTGAATGATTGACTTGCCGTTAATGGATGTACATCCGTGGACACGAAAATAGTCTGTAGTGAGAAGAGTGCAGCTGCGGGTCTTTAGTGGAGTGACCAGCAGTTAACGAATGCTGATTAACTCAGTTAATGAGTTTAACTGATTAATTTCGCATTGTTAGAGCTTCTAATTTATAGGTCCATTAGGTCCCCTTGCTAGCCCACAACAGGTAAAACGAGGATCAAGAATTATGAAATAATTTAAAATGTTTAAATTATATAAGGGAATGTATATAATGTATATTGATTCAAAATTAATACTATGTATTATGATAGTGGGGGCTAATGTTATGAATGGGAAAAATCCCTATTTTCTACATTTTGAATTTCCTATTTTCAAAAGAAGAAGATATCCTGATGGTCTTGGGATTTTCCCTAGAGAAGATATTCTATATCCCAAAGGATAATATGTACTAATAGTCTTAGGATTTTCCCTAGATTCAAAAAAAGATATCATATATCCAAAAGGATAAGATATCCTGATGGTCTTAGGATTTTTCCTTTATAAATATAAAAGTAATTTGAATCGAAGCAATTGGATGTCCAACTTGAACCTATATGACATGACTTATTGAAGTAATTTTTTAATAATGTTGCACCTACATCATTCTTAAATGAGGTTTATCAGACAATAAATGATAATATCCATTCTACGATATAGAATCGAAAATTTTTTCTAATGTTTGGATGTATTTTTAATTTTGTGCTACATTGTCTAAAAGTTTTAATTCGGTCTCCTTATGTTTTAACAATTTTCACAAATATACTAGGTAATATTTACATTGGCCGATGATAAGCTTGTATAACATATTGCTTAATGAGCGTTGAAAGAAATATAGAAAATGAATTGATATGAACCAAGATGCTTTAGAGTTAGCGTTAGCGTTCGATTTAAGAGGGTAAAGACAAGAAGAAACTTTATTCGTGGTGCCAAATGAAGACACGAGAAGACGATGAAGATAATTTGCATTAATAAATTTTATTATTTTAAAATTACCTGTTTTTTTCCTTTTATTTTAGGCATTTATATTTTTAGCCAATGATGTGGCCGTGAGTTATTAATTTTAGGTGCTTATTTTTAAATTTAACTATGTCACTTTAATTGGGGGTAGTATAGTCTTTTAGCTTCCTTGGAGATTAGAGATTTAATCTTGTTAACAGAACAATCAATTTTCACCGAATGAATTTGAGTGTTTTAGCGTGATGACTAAGAGTTCATCAATTTGCAATTATTGATCTAGGTTGCAAACCCATAATACATTCAAGCTAGGTTTGATCAACCTTCTTGAACATATTCTTGCAGACTGTTCAACCTTGAGTAGGGAACCAGTTCTACTTACCTCTTGATCTTCTATCATCAAGGTAATTCTTCATCTAATCTTTCGTTTTGGATTGTGCTATTTGATTTGGGGTTTTATAAATTGCCTATTAGGGGTTCTCCTTAGGTGGAATTGTTTTTATCTACTATTTTCTATGGTTTCATATCAGGAATTAAGAAAAATCCTAATAATTTTGGTCTACTTCTAGGAAATTTGAAGGATTAATTAAAACTTTTTCCTCCCTTCGGGTAAAAAATAATTTCTCCTTTAAATTTATATCAACTCATTATATATTATGTTATATATACTTATTGTAAGCTAATTCTTAACCTTCACTTATGGAGAAGGGTATAATCGAAAAATACTAAAGTACTTTTTAAATAATAGAGACTAATTAAATTAAAAAAAACACTCAAAGGGATGGCTAATCTTGAGAGAATAACTCTCATTTATGTATGTTTCTCGTTTAAGCCTGTTTATACAAAAAATTGATCGAGGTATAACCTAGTCCAGATATGACCGCTGGAAAAGTTGGGGTGTCATTGAGAAGAATGACCAGCTCAAGAGATCAAGGTAGGCTAACTGGAATGAGCTGAAGTGTCTGGAATGATTTGAAAGACGGCAAAGAAAGACCTGCACAAGGGAACGAACACTCCGACGTTGAAGTTAGTCATAGTTCGACCTTAGTAAGGAGACCGAGCTAGAATATCATACCTGACTGAAGAGTGAAGTGCTCTATTTATAAGTTGAGGTACCCGACAAGGAATTCGACAGGCCTTGCGATAGACGGTTACCTTGGCGGAGTGGAGGTCGAATCTGTTGGGTTTTCTAGATCGAACCCGGATGGTTTAACTAAGGTATTGCCAGTTTAATGAAGGAAATAATGGCTAAGTCCCCTACCTAGGAAGGTTCGAGGTGGAGCTACCTGCAAGTTGTGTATAATATATCTTTGGCGAATCATCGTCCTCCACGTGGCACTCCAATTTCCTTCCTCCAAACATTGGCCCCTTCTCTGTTAGGTTCGAGATCGATCTGGTAGAGAAGTTTTTGTATAGTAAATTGGTTTACGCCAGACTTCAGAGTTCGTGGTGCAAAATATTGTTGTTGGAGAATCTCGAAAACGGAGTTTGACAGCTGTGAAGTACTCGAGTGCTTTTGACATTCGATCTTTTGCACGATCTGGATCGTTACTTTTCATACACGTTTATGACAAAGATTGTTTTCCGGAGCACTATAAATAGCTCTAGGGTTCAGATCCACATTTTACGCTTTTTGAAAACTTGGAGTCTGACCTGAGCAGCTCGAAACTTTTTCTAGGTAAGTCTCATTCTTTTGGTTTTACTTGCGCTTTCCTTTTTAAACAATGTCGAGTTATTGTAGTTTTTCTAGCAGTAGTTCCTCTGATAGAGTAGGTCGGAGTCGGAGCCTTTCCCCAAAGAGGGTCGACTCTGTAGAGAAGTTTGCAAGTAGGTTAGACACTGAGCTGGAGGAAGAAATAGACAACTTTAGATTTTTTTAGGATAATGGGGATGATAGTGACACCTCCACCTCGGGCCAAGGAATGGAATTTCCTTCGCAAATGCTGGAGAACTACCTCGGCCCCCTTCACCAAAGATACAACATTCCTGATAACATTATCCTTAGGCTTCCCAAGGAAGAGGAACATTTTGATGACCCTCTGAAGGGGTGCATCACACTTTATCAAGATGTTCGAGTATGGCTTCCGCCTGCCCGTTCATCCTTTAGTGCAGGAGTTCTTAGTCCGAACTAAACTTGCTCCTGCCCAAGTGGCCCCCAATGGATGGGGAGTTGCCTTTGGCCTCGCAATACTGTTTTGGTTAAGATGTCGAGAAATAGAAGGGTTAGACCTCCTTAGGGTTGACTAGTTTTTGGCTTGTTTCGAGGTGAAACACATCTCTAAAAAGCTCGATAATTATTATTTATGTTCGAGGAAAGGTGCAGGGGGCATCGTTAAAGGTTCTACCTCCATAAAGAAGTGGGTAAGAAAGTGGTTCTACGCCTCCGGAGAGTGGCTGGCGAAGGACGAAACTGACCAGCGCCCTTCTACAATGTTCCCTGTAGATTTGTGAACTTAGGTAAGAGGTTGTGTCTTCTGTTTGTTCGAGTTTTTATTCTTCTCGTACTCTAACTGATTACTTTCACTTGGCAGTTGCCATCCAACCTGTTCCACAACTATCCCAATCAACATTCGACATCTTGAAATTTTACATGGACAAATTCAAGGGGGCAAGAAATTTGGCACTTTGCTAACTGACCAACTGCTTCTTGCATCAGGATTATTGTATTACAATCCTCTGCTTTTTCCTTCAGAAGCTCAAAGACTGAACTTAGAGCTAGGTAACACGATCTCGAACTTTCCTCAACTTCATTCTTTTGATAATCTATTCATACATTTTTATTGTTTGGATTTGCAGCCATGGTTTTCGGATTCGATCAAGACGTGGAGTGCAAGCGTCCTGGCTAAGGCCAATCATCTAAGGCCAGGCCTAAGTCGAGCTCCATTATAGTCAATCCATATACCGAGGTCGAGGTGGTTGAGAGGCGCGTTGATGGTAGCCCTCCAAAGGACACAAGGGAACCTGAGATTTCGCAATCTCAAGAAATCCTTGATGTTTCTCCTCTTCAGGAGGTTTAGAGAAGATCTCCTCCCAAGAAGTTTTAGAAGAGGAAGAAGAGGACCCTTTCTTTAGAAGAGGCCGTGACCGAGGTGAGAAGCAGCTGCTTCGTCGAGCGCACGGATGATCCCGAGGCTAGAATGGGTGCTACTTCCGACATCGAGATGAGGTTCAAAGTTTGAGCCCTCAAGTGCGGGAGTGAAGGCAAAGGTGATGTAGATGTCGAACTCCTGCTTTGACTGCTGCTACTGGAGGGGCATCAAAGTTTGTCAGTGCTCCTGGGTCGGCCATACAAAGGATGTTGGACTATTCTGTCGAGGTAAGACCTCTTGTAAGTTTTAATCTTTTCGTACTTGAATATTTTTTGCTAACCGATTTGTCTGACTTTTTCTTCATTTGTCCACAGACGCACGCTGCTATCTGTCATGCGACAGTGACGATGAAGGTCGAGCTTGACAGCAGTGACCTCCTTACCGTGAAGGAGCGAAAGGCCTCTTCAGCTGCGCTTTAAACTGCTGCAACCTTGGAAGGAGAGCTGAAAGAGGTCAGAGCCGAGATTGAGGCCTGGAAGTCAACCTTGGAGGCTGACAAGGCCGAACTGAAGAGCGCTAAAAAGGAGATTGAGAGTCATATGGAGGCTTTAAGGGGCGCCCACGCCATTGTGAAGGGCTTGGAGAAGGAGAAGTTCGAGCTCATGAAGCGTAACGACCAGCTCGTTCGCAGCGTTGAGACCCACCATGCCTAGGTGGAGAAGCTGAGAGCAGAGTTGGAGCAGGAGAAGTTGAAACTCAGCAACGGTGTATTCTTGGAAGAGGCTTTCCGAATCCACCCAGACTTCGACGGTTTCGCCAAAGACTTTAGCGATGCTGACTTCAAAAATCCTGATGAAGGGAATTAAGGAGGTGGCTCATGAGTTCGACTTGGAACCCATCAAGCGCCGGTACAGGGAGAAGTGGGCACAACCCCTAAAGCTTGGTAGACCAGTATATGAGGGATTTGGACTCCGAGGTCGAAGAGGATGAGGAAGACCTTGACCAAGGTTTGACCTTGATCATTTCTTTGTTACTTTTAAGGGCATAAAAACGAAGGAATGTAAATTAATTTTTTCATTTATTTGAGGGTGTTTACCAAATTGTAGTAATGGAAATCAAATGGTGGGATCCACCCAATTTTTTGATTCTCATCCCCTAAAAAAGGCAATAAAAGGGTCAATCTCATTATCTCTTACACCTTCATCAATCACATTCTCATTCCTTATTTCTTGGGTATTGCACATTTATTGCAATTACTTTTCTAGTTTTATCATTTTCTTTCTCGTGTATTAATGAGACCCATAACTTTTTGTTTAATTGTTTTATACTTTTTATTTCTTTTTCATTTATACTACTAATAATTTTTTTTTTCTAATAAAAATTTATACCACTTTTACTAGTTGATGTGATTTTATTATAAAATATTATAAACTTATATTTAATTTCTAATTTCTAATTTAATTTTGTTATTATTAATTAATATCAATAGATTTTTTAAAATATGATTCATTATTATTAAATATTATAATAATAATTTATATTAAATGATTGATGGTTCTAATCAGTGTTCAAAATTTCGCTCGACACGTCGACGGTCTCGACATCAACATTGGAGGAGAAAATCGTTTCCCCCCAATGTTGTCGACATGTCGACATGTCGACCAAATTTCGAGAAATGTCGAGAAATGTCGAGAATTGTCGACCAAATGTCGATTTTTTTTATTATTTTATTATTTTTTGCCTTGAATCCCTAAACGATTGAGAAAATCTAGATTCATGGTGGCCTTATAGTTAGTTGAGACTTAGAGGAAAATCTGTTGTTTTTCAAGAAAAAAATCTAGATTGAAAATTTTGAATCCAAACCTTAAAAAAAGAAGGATTTCTGTTCAAAACGTCTTTCAGTTTGGTGTAAATTCAAAGCTTGTGGAAGAGTAAACAGAAAAGTCGAAAATAATATAAAAAATTATACGACATTGGGCATTTTCTATTTTTCTTTTAAAGAAATTAAAGTTAAATTCTTATCATTTTGGTGAAAAAAAAACAAAAAACAAACGTTAAATTAAATTTAACTATAAAATCTAATCAAATCTTAAAGAAATAGATTATAAACAATAGATATATAAAAAACTTAATTCTTAAACTAAATTTAACAAAAAAAATCTAACAAAATCTTAAAGAAACATATAATCGATTTAAAAAAAACAAAATTTAAATTAAATTTAACTAAAAAATCTAACAAAATCTTCAAGTAATTGATTTAAAAGAAAAACTAATTTTAAATCAAATTTAACCAACCAAATCTTAAAACAAACTAATAAAAGAAAATCAATTCAACTAATTATTATTAAACATTTAAATTTTAAACTAAATCTAATTTTTTTAAAAATTATTTAATACTATTTCGTTCAATTATGTAATTAGATTAAATTAGAAATTATCAATAAAAAAATAACATTAAACTTTAATTTACTGACTCAAATAATTTTCATACATGTATACATAATTTTGTTTCAACATTTTTATCGTGACTATATTTTATAAGTATATTACATATATGGTTAGATATGATGGTTATAAGTGATTAGTTATAGGCTAATTAAGCTACAATTGAAGTATTATTTAGTAATTTAAAAAATTTCCATCAATATCCACTATTTTTGTAATTTTTCTCGAAATATCCATCGACATCGACATGTCCATGAACATGCCCGTAAAATCGAGACCTCGACATTTCCATCGACATCGACATTTTGAACCTTGGTTCTAATAAAAAATTATTTTAGTGGATGTAATTTTATTTTAATTATTAATTATTTATAAATGTTAAATAAATTGTTATAATAAAAAATATATTTACTATAATAAAATAAATTAAAATGTATTATTATTCTAATTAAAAAAGAAATTAGCACAAAATGTATTTGTAATTAGCTAGAAAAAAAAAGGTGGTATATATCTTATTCGGATTCTAATTAACCGTTTTAGTTAACAACATCAAATAAATTTTTAGTAAACACTAGGAATAACATTTTTATTCTGATTGATTTGATTCTGGTCGGTAATTTTCATTCCGGTTTTTTGTGAGTAAACCATTGCTAAATCCCGAAGTTTGGAAAGGAAAACAAAAAACAACAAACAAAAAACAACAGAACAAGAGAAGAGTGCTTACCAAGCCACGTAATTTAAGAGAAATATCCTTAGGAGTCGAGAATTCATTGTTGAGAATTTTCCCAGACCGTTGTACAAGTGTGTTGAACTGTAGACAAGTTACAACGACAGAAAAAGCTTTGTGGATGTAGATCAAATGCAAAGCTGTGTTGCCACCATAATCTTGCTTGTTCATTAACTTTTTAAACTTTCGTTTTCCCAACATAAATTCCACAGCTGCACCTTGGCGCCCTAAGACTGCAGCATGAAGGGGTGTTCGACCCTTGTTGTCAACTAAATTGCAGCAATCAGGACGACAATTTATGAGCTCTTCTAACGCATTGATATGGCCTTGAAAAGCAGCAATATGGAGAGCAGACGCCCCATTATTGGTCAACAGGTAGATCGCACAGCTATCATATTCAAGAAACAACTTAATTGCTTCAATTTTCCCATAAAAAGCAGCATAGTGAAGAGGGGTCATTCCCAATTCGTCACCTTCTCTTATCATTTCTGGCCTCCATCTCACAAGAACCTCAATCTCCTCAGTTTCTAAAACAAAACAAAATAAACACCTTTCAAAAGCTTTTAATAAGTCTCTATCTATGCCGTTGTTCTTTGAAAATGTTTTTATTTTAGTCYATCAACTTTCAACTGTTTAATGCTTAATTATATGACACAATATATATGATGATGATTTTTTGAAAAATTGAAGGGATTTTCAAAATATGCATTTGACTGTCGTTATGCGATAAGAGACGCATTCAGCGCTCCGGACTTACAGTCACGGGACTACGTGCTGTTAAAATAAAATACAACACTAACTATATCTAGAACCTTCTTGAGGTATCTACACAACATAAGTTTTCTCTAGAAGATTGTAAATAAATATCTAAAGAAAATGATCTAGAAATATCTTAGGTTTTTCCCTTAGGTTCTAAAGGATTCTAGAGAAATCTTTTGGATAAGAATAGATAAAGAAAGATCTAGAATATGTAAGATTTGAGAAGAGTCTATAAAGTTCTTTTTGCTTAAGCTCCAAGGATCTTTCTTCTATAAATAGAAGAGATGTCCATGTGAATAAAGTGAATAGAGTGAAGAGAGTGAATCAACTAAAGTGAGTGAAAAAAGAGAGGAAAGTTAGAGGGTGTGAAAGAGTCTTCCATCAAGAGTGTCCATATTTCTACTTTCCTAATAAAAGTATCTTTCTTCAAGCCATCATCTATTTCCTTTTGTGCTATTTATTCAACAAGTGGTATTAAAGCTGCGCTAATTAATTCAACAGATGCGTCTCTGCCTTGAAAATCTCGATTGGCCTCTTTTTTTTTTAAAATTTTGTTTTTACTTCCCCTCACATCGTCTCATCCTAATTTTTATTAAACACCGTAATTAAGATGTTCGTGTATTAAACAACCTCACTCACATCTCATCTTAGAGAGAGGCATCCGTCGCCGGCGTTCGTTGAATGGACATCACTACGTTTTTTTTTCTTTTGAATTAATTGTTTTATCGATTTATATTATTTTGTGAGTATTTTAGGTTAAGAATTTATTATTTTATATTAATAAATATTCAAAATTTCAAGACATGCAATTTCAATTTTAACTATGTATTTATTTTTATGTATTTCGATGTTCATATTTATGAAGTATATTTAATAGAAAATTTAAAAATTTAGATAAGTTATGAAGTTTGGGTTTAGATTTTATTATAAAAAAATTTTATTATTAAGTTAATAAAATTACGAAATACATGTGTTAATATAAAAGAATAAAATATTTTATTTAAAAAAGAAAATATTTTTTTAAAAAAAGTAGTCATTAAATTTTGAATATTTATTAATATAAAATATTACATTCTTAACCTAAAATACTCCCAAAATAATATAAATCGATAAAACAATTAATTCAAAAGAAAAAAAAACATAGTGATGTACATTCAACTAACGTCGGCGATGGATGCATCTCTCTAAGATTAGATGTGGGTGAGGTTGTTTAATACGAACATCATAATTATGGTGTTTAATAAAAATTAGGATGAGATGTCAGGGGAAATAAGAAGAAGGAAAAAAAAAAAAGCGTCTCTTCATGCATTCGCTATTTTTTCAATTTATTTTGAAAATACCTTTAATTTTTCAAAAAATCTCATGATCAATATTAAAACATTAACGTGTTAGGTAAGTGTAAAACGAATTAACAACCTCATTAACATGCATAAACCCTATTAAACACAGCTCAAGGTGCAGAGACTAGACTTTTAGTTTACCCAAAAAAAACAAAGTTGACTCCATGTGCTTGTTAGATTTAAGGATAAATTAAACCTGTCAGCATCGTGTAAGGTCCCGTTTGGATTACGATTTTTTTTTTTTTAATTTTCTATTTCATGGGTGGAAGCGGTGGTTGTATGTTTTATTTTGAAAAACAAATAAAATGCTTATCAAAATGGGGCATAAACACAATAAAATTTCCTTACCAATTTTTTCGATGAGCAGTGTTAAATGCAATGCTGTGAGAGCTCTAGGTCCTTTATAGAGTGCTGAAGATCGTGCGCAGTTTATGATATGGTGATGGATACCACTAACTCCAGAGGCAACGCAAAGATAAAGGGGAGATTCATCAGCATTATTCACAAAACTACAAACTTCAGGATCTGCTTCTGCCAGCAGCTTCACACATTTCCNTGCCTCGACTCTCCCATTTCCTCGTCGGCCTTCTCCCGCGCGCAGGAGATGAAGTGCCTCACCAAGCCTGCATGCTTCTCTCTCGCCGCGATGTGGAGCGCCGTGTCGCCCGAGGAGTTCACCTGCCACAGCAGTGCCGGGCAGTCGTGCACGGCGGCCACTGCGAAAGCGACCCGGTGGTATTCGGTGGCGACATGAAGAACCGTGTTCTGAGATGGACTTAGCTGCAACTCAAGATTTGATGTCTCTGGTAAACTTCGAAGGAAAACCAAGTCCCCCTTCATGGCCGCGAGGTACAGATTTGGATCCATCAAAACTTAGTTTTGGGAGTGAAAGGTAAGTGGGAGAGAGACGTGTTAGAGAGAAATGGCAGAATGAAGAAAAGAAGCGAAGGTTTAGAGAATATATAGAAATGGAAAAATCTTCTCGTTACTGTCATTGAAAAAGTAGCAATTTATTGAAATTTTTTTAAATAATCTCTCTTTTATTTTTTTATTTCTCAAACATTTAATAGTACTACCAAGGAATAAAGTATTTTTCTATAGAAACTTTGTTTTTAAAAACTTATTTTTACAAATTTTTAAATTTACTTGCAATTTCAAAATTATAGGAATGGAAAAAAAAATTAGAGAGAAAATAGCTGGGTAGATGGGGAAAAAGAAGTTATATATTACAGAGAAATAATTAAAAAGAAAAAATTAGAGAGAGAAAGATTGTGAGACAAAACAAAGATGAGTTTAAAGTGTCCAGAGGAAAAAAGAAAATGAGAGGAAGGAATAAATAAATTTAACTATTTTTATTTACTTACAATTAAAAATTATTTTCAAAATTTGAACGTTTTGTAATTTTTAATTTTTTTTTTACTCTTTCTCGTTTCTTACTCCCTCTTTCATATTAATAAAAAATATATTTACATTTAATAATTATTTATTTATTTCTTATTATTTATTTTCAGTTTAAAAAAAAAACATGTTCTTGGTAGCCCTTTCTTGTTTTTTATCTAAAATTTTCAATTAAAAAGGTAAAATTTTTAATATAGAAATCAATTTTTAAATTAAATATTCAAATGTTATATTTACTCATTAATATTTACCATGCATCTTGTGAATCAAAAGAACGATAAAATAAAATAATAATTTTTATGGCTCTTTCTAATTTATTTTTCTTTTAAAAATTATCTAAAATTGCTCGATCTAATTTTTTTTTCTCTTTCAATTTTCTCTCATTGTAACTCTTTTTCTTTGAACTCTTTCTTTTTTTCTGTCTAAATTTTTTCTTTAAATTTAATCTCTTCCTATTTTTCGTTTTTATTTTTTGTCCGATGTATGCTTTGCTCTCAACTTTAATTACCATCCCTCAGGATCATTTTGTCTCTAACATTTCTCTCTTTCTCTGGCATATCACTGCCACTAATTTTTCTCTCTAAATATTTTATCTTTATAAATTTAATCTCTCTTGTGGGTGGAACTAAATGGGTTAAAATACTAAAAATACAAAATGAAATAGCTATCAAATGAAAAAAAAAATATAACTATTATATATTATCAAACAGATGGGACCTTAATATTTCAAATTTGTCCCTAATAATCTCAAATCTCATATCTAGAATCTTGTAGGTCATGTTTTGTTTGAAATTATTGTTAACTGTTTGGCACTAAAAAAAAAGATCTACGTTTTTTTTAGTACAGCATATGAGGGAAATGCACGACGTCTTGGTCATAGATATGTAACTATTATCGCTGAGCTATATGCTCGCTTTGACAAAAAACGTTTAGGGACATCAAGAATAATTAAAGTATTCTTTTTTTTCTTTTTTAACACTTTGGAAACAAAGAATAATTAAAGTGTTGAGTTTGAAAGACCAATAGAAACTAAATTCTAATCTGAAGTGTAATGTACTAAAAAAAATTCTATATTATTTGTTGTGGAGAATGAAACAAAAGCAGAATAAAAAGTAAATTAAGCCTAACCGGAATGGTTTCCAATAACAAAGTACTCCATTATGTTTTTAAAAAAAAGTAAAACAAAGTACTCCATTACATTTGTTACATTGAATTTTGAAATCCAAGTATTTATGGACTTTTTTGAATGATGAGGTAGTTTTTAAAAAATGGATTAGAAAAATAATGGATAAGTTTCAAATTATTTTGAAAAATAAAGAGTGCATGACTTAAAAGAAGAGAAACATTCCTTAATATTTGTTTTCTTATCCTTATGTATTTGAGTTAGTTTACGCATGCTTCCACTAATTTCACAGGCGACTACTGATCCCACAATATTTGGCGTTAAGAAAATACTGAGGACCAATCAAGTCTATTATATTATGATTAATTTTCTCATCTTGATGGACCATTAATGTTCGTTTTATTTATTATCTGACCTTCTTTCTCTTTAATTCATTTATTTATTTAAACTTAATTAATAGAAGTCAAAGCAAGCATAGTTCAGCGGTCATTGACATATACCTCTAACTAAGAGATTATGAGTTTGAATCTCCTCCTCAACAATGTTTTACTTACTAAAAAAGATAGAACAAATTAAGAGATCCCCTCCACAACAATGTTGTACTCAAAAAAATAGAAGAAATTGAATTTCTTCTTTTTCTTTTTTAATTCACACTTAAGTATGTCTTACGTGCTTAAAACATCTAATAAAATCAGTTTTCTTTTTAAGCTCAAATTCACTGTTTTTAAATTGGTTTTATTATTATTATTACTATTACTATTAATTTTAAAACTTGAATGCCTTCGAGTCTCTAAATATGTTTTATTTTTTCTATTATTTTTATTTTTAAACTTTTCCTAAATGTAACTATAAGAATCTAACAAAATAATTTTTTTTAAATACAATAGATCCAATGTCGTTTAAGGTTAAGCTCTTAATAGATCAAAAACTTAATCGTCACATTTCATTCCAAAAGTACAATAACAAAGATTGTCAAAGAAAAAATTAGGAGCACAAAATATTGTTATAGAAGCCGAATTCTTTGCATGTGAAGGAGAAAAAAAGGGTGAAATATGAGAATTGATCCCATTTCAATTTTCTATTTGGGCATGTACAAGACAAGAATATGTTTACTTCATGTTATCAACCTTTTATTGCAAAATAAAGATGAAACACGAGTTCTACAAAGATAAGTGTCAATTTATTTATTTATTATTATTTTTTTTTTTTGAGATACAAATTTAAGTGTGAACTATTTAACTCTTTTCTTTAAACGTTTAAATTCTCATATCTTTGCATTTATTGCACATGAATGATATTTTGGAAGGGGAGGGGTTCAAACAAATGTGGGTGGATGAAAAATCGAACCTAAAAAAAGAAATATATATCTTATCAATCAAGTTATATATCTTATCAATTCTGTTTAGAAGCTTAAAGTTACACCAAAAGTTATGTTTTTGTGGGGAGTGTTCAACGATTGCCTTCTATGGAAAACCTTATTAAGAGAGGGATTGGTGCAGACCCAAATTGTCTAGTACGTGGGAAGCAAATTGAAACAACTGACCATGCTCTTTTTAAATGCAAAAGAGCAAAGGAGGTTTGGAATATTTTATTACCTCAAGCTGTCCCGCAATGTGATTTTAATAATTCCGTTCAAGATAGATTGTTGTATCCAGTGGAGTCGCTCTCTACTCTAGACTTTGATTTGGTTGGAGTTGGTGTTTGGACAATCTGGAAGGATCGAAATGCAATTAGAATTCAAAGACAAATTCCAGACGCTAAGATTAGGAGCGATTGGATCCTTACCTATGTGAGAGATTTTCAAGCCCGTGATGTCCCTTCTCTTGGTGATTTTCGGATTCAGGAGGATGCAAGTTCGAATGGTTGGACTACTGAGAGTTACTGGTCGCCTCCTCCTGACTGGTTGGATTAAAATAAACGTGGATGTAGCATGCAAGAAACATCAATTTAGAACTGCAATAGGGATTGTTTGCAGAAATGAAAAGGGGCAAATTTTGGCAGCAGCATCTCGTAGAATGGAGGCTTACCATGATCCGCTAATGGCAGAATCTCTTGCTCTCCTTGAAGGCCTGCGTCTGGCTGACCATCTGAATATCCAACAAGTACAGTTTGAATCAGATTCTTTGCAATTGATCAATTTGCTAACTGAGGATCCTATTTCTTGGTGCGGTTCCAATGTCTGGTTAGAAGATATACGTGTATTGGCGAGAAATTTCATTGATTTCAATTTTTTGCATGTCTGTCGGTCCTCAAACAAGGCAGCCCGCAGGGTTGCTTCTTTTGCTGTTGGTTTTGATAATCCCTGTTTTTGGGCTCTGATTTTCCTGAATGGTTAATGGATGTAACCACTCAGGATATGTTATGTTTCAATATACTAGCCATAACGGCTTTGGTTGAGTTTCAATAAAGTTCCTTTTATCCTGGTCATATTCGATCAGTTATATGGGTACCGTCCAAATTCATCGAAACCAATTTTTTCTCCTAGAAAAAAATGTCAAACAGCCTCTAACCAAGAATTTATAAGAGTTCAAATCATGCCTCGTATTAATTAGACATCTCAGGATAATCTATTAATTTTCTTGTCCGATAAGTTACAACATTTTTTAAAATATTCATCACATGAACTAAAAAACAACGACAACTTGAGCACTCAATTGGTTAAGACAATTATCTTTATTTTCCAATCAATAGACTGTGAATTTAATTTGTGCTGTACTTTGAAAAAAATAGAAATAGAAAAAAATTTGGTGCTAAAATCCAAGAGATATTGAATTCTACAAAGTATAGACCATACAAATAGGCTCAGCAAATAAGACGTTTAGGTAATTGAAAATATTTGGCTCTTTAAGACTTCTACTTGACACCTGATCATTCTATTTAAATAAAAACATTTATGCTTTGTTCGATTTCAAATTCTAGAATTCTAAATTATAGAAATGATTTCTAATTCTTAATTGCATTTAGAATCTACAAATTTTGATGGATTTTAAATTAGTTAAAAATAAAATTTTTTGTTGGATGATGGCAGGAAATGAAAATAAAATATATATTTTACCATGCCTTTATAATTATAAAACAAAATCTTAACAACATTCTTCTTATATCAAAACCCTACTCCCTTTTCTTATGAATTCTCGTTCGTATCTCATTGTCTCCTTTTTT